GACAACCTCAACATAAAACAACATCTTCTGACTTAACATGAATATAATTATCAAAATGACTTGAAAAACGTAACTTTTGCACGATCAACATGAAAGGGCCGTGGCGAGCGCACCGTGCGCCGCCGACGGCAATACGCCGTCTCCCGACCAAAACACCTTCTCCCTCGGCAACTCAAGACCACTTCAACATGAAACATCATTTCAGAACTGTTGGGACATAAATGTACTGATAAACTAGACCGACCGCAAATAACATGACATGTCGTAGTAAGGCCCGCGGCGTGCGCGGCGAGCGTTACCGACGGCTGTGGGCCATTTTCGGATAAAACAACATTTTTCCTCGACCAACCTTAAGTGACTGGATTAAACATGATGTTAACTGAACAATTAAACATTAATAGTTCGAGAGTTGCCGGGTAAAACGAAAAATTATTCGATCACGATTTTACTTAGGCCTAATCGAACCTTAGCACGGCAATTCTAGGAATCCTTGAACTTGACTCGCACACTTCAACTTAAGATGAACTTACTGACATGAAAGAAAGCTGGAGATGAAATTACCTTCCCAAACAGTCGGCTGAAAATCAAAAAGATGGCGTGATGACTTGGTTCTGTGCTCGTCCGGGTGTGGCCGTGCGGTACGCCGCCAATTGCCGTGCGTGATGCTATGGAAATTTAGGGTACTTGGTTGAACTTATTGCTGTCAAAGAAGGATACTATATGTTGAAATTGTGGTGTAAAAATCGATCCAAACTCATGCTTAAATACTAATGGCCGTGGGGGTGATGATGACGTAGATGCAATGTGGCCATGTCTATGCTTGACACTTGCTAGTTGCTGGCATGATTAGTGATGACTAATCCTTTCCTTACTCTCCCAAATAGACACGTATAAAGGTTGGGATGAAGTCAAAAGATTTCCTTTTCATGAAGGAAATGCGTACGGCTTTGACAAGCTTAAGGGAAAATTCCATACGGTTTGAATTGGTTAATTATGATTAATTACTAACTAATCAAAATTAATTGCTTAACTATTCAATTAAGCATAATACTTAATTACCAAAATTATTCCGGACGTAAACGGTACGTCGAAAATAAATTTCGGTAATCTCGACTGAAATAATTAATTCCGAAAATAATAATCAATAACATTATTATATCGGAACTAAAACTTAGTTTATACTGATAAACGGACGGGACGTCACTGACTGAATAATTAATTCCGGACTCATTAATTAATTAAACGAATCAGAATTAAATCTGGAAAAACTTATTCGGTTACTACAATAAGTAAACCGAATAACTTCCCGACTAATAGTCGAACATAGAATATGACTGACTGGTCAATCTTAACTTGAACATGAACATGATTATTTATTAATAAAGGCTAGCTTAAAACTGAAAGCTAGTATTTCCTTTATTAATAAAATACGGGGCGTTACACCAACTTGTTAGTGGGCATGCACGCGCAAGCGGTGACGCGCGCAAGAATTTCGACCAAGGACGCGATAGCACGAGTACGGCCGAGGGGATTCACGCGCGAGCATCCCTAACCGCGCAAGGAATGGGCAAAGTGGATGACATGGGCGCGGGAGTCTGGCACGCGCGCAATGGCGGCTAGGGTTGGGTAATGCAAAGCGGATTCCATAGATTAGAATCCTTTTCTTTCCTTAATTCCTAGTATGGTAGGATATCTTATGTTTATTTCTTTCCTAGTTTAAGTAGATTAGCCTTAGTGGAATAGGATAAGATCTTTATTTGAGCTTTATAAATAGGCGCAAGCGTTGTTACTTAGATTATTATTGATTCTTCTTAATATAAAAAATCCGAACTTTGTTCAAACACTTTGCAAAGACATCCTTGAGTTCAATTGCAATTTTACTTGTTTGTAAGGACTGTGGACGCGGATCTTCGAGACCCTATCTCTATTTAAGGCACTCGCGTGGCTTGTCAAAAGGCCGAACACACGATCTTCATCATTGGTGCTTTCATTTTTAGGTGTTTGATTGTGTGTTCTTCTTCCTCCTGATTCTAATTTTAATTTTCTTTGTTTAATATTTCTTTGTTCAAAAAAAAAAAAAGAGTCCTCATAGCAAAGAGAGAAAGAAAGAGAAGAAGGAGATGGCCAACAAAGAGATGAAGGACAAAATCGATGGCCTTGATGCACGAGTTTCAGGCATGACCGAGACCATGTCCACCATAGGGGAAGAACTCGGGTCTCGCAAGGTGGCTATGAAGGAGATGATGAAATTCATGGCCCAAAAATTCGAAGAGATGGGGAGAAACTTTCAAGAACTCCAGCAGCAGCCACGCGCTCACGAACGAATTCGCACAAATGCACGCAAGCGTCTACGGCAACAGGAACAACAGTGGGAGCATGAGGAGGAGGAATTCGAGCGGAACTCGCAAGCGTCCAACATGCACGAGAGGCCGAGGGTTGACAAGCCAAAAATAATGCTCTCGACCTTCACGGGGAACGACCTCGAGGCGTGGCTCAATCGGGCGATGCAATACTTCGAATTGAACGAGACGTCGGCGAGGCACTGGGTTAGGTATGCGGCCTATTACCTAGACGGGGAGGCCAACGTGTGGTGGCAATGGCTCACAAGCGTATACGGGACCCACAATCAACCGATCATGTAGAACGATTTTGAGAGAGAATTACTCACGCGCTTTGGAGCGTCAAGTTACCTCAACTATGACGAGGCGCTCTCACGTATTAGGCAGACGGGCACTCTACGCGATTACCAAAAGGAGTTCGAGAGCTTGGCGTGTCGCGTACGAGGGTGGCCCGAGAGTGCCTTGGTCGGTGCATTCATCGGAAGACTTAAGTACGATTTGGCGATGGAGGTCGCTCGACGGCGCGATGAGCACCTGGCTGCAACGCGAAGGGGACGGGGGGATCTCCGCGCCCTGGAACTGCGTCGGGTGCCGATGAGCTCAAACACGTTCAATATAGGGGTCAAACCAACGAGCAACATTCGACCTCCTATTCTGGAGATCAAGCGATTGACGGTCGAAGAGATGGCTCGGAGGCGTGAGAAGGGACTGTGCTTTAAGTGCGAAGAGAGGTTCACCCCGGGTCATAAATGTAAGCAAAATTTTCTGATCGACTTTATTGACTCGGGTGATGAGGAGCCAGAGTTTGTGGAAGAAAGGGAAGAGGAAGAGGTCTAGGTGCTCGATGATGAGGCCGAGATCTCTGTGCACGCCATGGCAGGCACCAAGGGCCCGAGGACGATGCGATTGCCGGCGTGGGTGAAGGACCGGTGAGTGACTGTGCTCGTGGACAATGGGTCGTCGCACAACTTCATTAATGCGACGTTATCTCACAAACTTAAACTACCCACGTCCATGGTCGAGCCATTCGAGGTTCGGGTGGCCAATGGTGAGCGACTGCGGTGCTCGAAGGTGTACCGAGGAGTGCCGATCAAATTCCATGGAGTAACGATAAAGGCGGACCTATTTGCCTTGCCACTGGTGGGGCCGGATGTGGTGCTTGGGGTGCAGTGGCTCGAGGGACAAGGAGATGTGACGACTAATTACTGGAAAGGTGTGA